AATTGTCTCAAAAATTAATGTGATTGTATGGGAGCTGTGATTATATAGGAGGTGATTATAGAGGAGGAAGACTGTATAAAAAATTCAAAGTCACTTTGAAATATGGTATAATACAGACATTTTTAAAAAATAGAACGTTCGAAATAATGGTGAATTCGATTTATAATTCTGTATAACATAAAATTCTAAGATGTAGGAATTTATGATACAAAGATCGATATCAATATTATACATAGCAACCGCATAAAATGTCCAGGATCAGGTGTAACGTGAAAACAAATCAAACTGCCGGCTTTTTTTAAAAAATCGTCCATAACTCAAAATTTCGACTACAAAACTACTTCCTGCGTCTTAGCAAAAAAATTCCTTGCAAAATTTTGCTATATACCCCGCCTTTTTTACTATCATTCTAGTGCACACCCATATCCTAACGTCAAGAGTTAATTTTTTTGATCGAAAAACGCGTTGACAATCTGCAGTTTGTTTTGGCAAATAAATGTTAGAGTATATCATCACGAGACCGCGATTTTTTATGCGGTTGCTATGTATAATGATATCAATCAAGTCAATCAATCATCAAATCAATCAATCAAAATATTATAAAATTACCAGACATCATGAGTGTGTCCGTTCTTAATTATCTGATTGGATAAAAAAAAGTACTTTAGCTAATAATGGAATATATCGTATGCAATATCATATGTCAAATGATGAAAATAGCATCATTGGCGATCAAGACGTAATACGTATTATGTTAAAAAATTTCCCATAACTAAGACTTACTACGATTAAAATATCGATACAATTATTATGTATATCGATATTAATAAATCATATACTGGTGTTGTATAAGTAAACAGATCCGTATAGTATAGGCTGATTTATAAACTATACTCGTTAGGCTTAGAAATTATAGCTGATCAATATTGGTAAGGCGTAGTTTTTAAAAAATTGAGCCTGTACTATACAGATTTGCTCACCTATACTATACCAATCCGTTGTAATTTCATTCGAGTTGACAAAGTCAACGGATCAAAATAGCAACAGGAATAGGACCAATCCCGCATAATCAAGATTACAGGAGGAGTATGACTCTATACGACCTTCTACATATAGTAATTCTAACTTAATAATGAATACTATGAGAAAAAGGCTGATTCAGTGGAAAGCGCAGTAGTAATTCCCACCGGCCATTACCAATTTAGCTTTAACTGCTGTCCTACATTATGCAGGCGAGAAGCCACCGGCCAGCATTAAGCCGCACAAACTTAACTGCTATGATGATCTTCACATATTCCATTTTAATGATTTGAATGTTAATAATAAATCATAACTAAAATTCAATTAAAACATCAGAATGGATTATTCTGATATATACTTTTTTGCTATGTTATCGTTAAACTTAATTATGAGTATATGATCTAATCAATATCATCTAACATTGACACAATTAACGCAATAGGGACGCCGGTGGCGCCCCATCTTTTCTTGTTTAATAATATAGATAATATGAACAGTTTATATATAATTGATGTAATGCTTTTTATTGTATGTATGTACGTAGTTTAAATAAGTTATAGTTCATACATTGCACAATACTATCGGTCTTTAATAATGCAAAATTATTGAATATACAAAAATATAATTAATTTTTAGCATTTAAAATAATCAAATTAATTTAATTAAGTTTACAACGCTACCTGCCATATACTCTAGCTATAAATTACGTGAATGAATGACCAAGTTTAAATAATTAATTTTTGATCATTTTCATAAAGAAATTTCTTCCTGCGTTGAGAATACAAAGTATAATTAAATTACACCGTATAAGGGAAATTTACTTTGTATTCGCAACGCAGGAAGAAGCTCTCCTTATGCAAACCCGGGTTACATTGACGCACTAAATAAGGTTGAGCAGATGTTTAAAGTCAAAAAAGACCTCAGCTATAACTAACAGTATAAAGGTGACTGCTTTTATCGACTTCAAAGTTCATCCCAATAGTGAGAAAAAAACAACCATATTAAAAAAAAAATGGGATTAAGTCACTCTTCAACTTATCATTCTTCTCATATAAGGAGTGTGACGGAATTTGGTCCGGTTATCGTCGAACCACATTCAGAAATATACCCGCGTTTGTCAATTGAAGATTTCATTGGCTGTGACAATGAAACATACAGCCCACAATTCGAATTGTTTGTTCAAAGTTATCAAGCGATGTATGATCGTCCCCACACCGATATGCGATCATATTACCAGGTGGCTGGAATCCATTCACTACCTTGGACACCTTATGATGGAGTTACTGGTGGTATTCATGAATATAAAAATGAGACTGATTGGGCAACAGGTCGTTGGGGTGGATATTGTTCGCATGGAAGTGTTTTGTTTGGACCATGGCACCGACCTTATTTACTATTAATTGAATCGTTAGTAATTAATGAAGCAAAGAAAATTGCTTTACAATACCCTGATAACGAAAAAGAAAAGTACGTTGAAGCAGCAAATCAATTGCGCTTTCCCTATTGGGATTGGGCTGATGAAAAGGCACTACTCAAAGGCATGCCGGATGTATTCATAGTAGCTGAACTCGAAATAAAAACACCAAAAGGTAAAGAAAAAGTCAAAAATCCGTTAAAAAGTTATACATTACCTGTAGATCTTTCATTTCCCCTTGGAAAAGGTTATAATCCA